CCTGCCTCTCTGTCCTGTCCTGAAACGCATCCCTTTTCTCTTCTGGGCACCGATATCTTTCTTCCATCAACTGTGCCTCTTTCAGATGAATTTGTCCTTCTTTATCATGTCTCCAGCCCACTCCTTCTTCCCAGCACCGCCTCATTCACTTTAAAGTTCGGCCTTTTCCCCCTAAAGTCTTCTGATTCTCTAACACTCCACTCCTTTCCCATTTTGACTATGTGCCCAACCCCAGACAGTTCCCATCAGCCCTGCCTCTCGACACCCACAGGATGAGGCACACTACGGGCGGTGCTGGGCTGCGAGCCTGTGGAGGCTGCTCTGGGCAGGAAAGGTCTGAGCCACGCACTCCAGGAGCTTACAGTCATTCCAGACAGAAACACCACAAATGATATCGTAAGGCAGGAAGGGTTAAGTGAAGGCCAAGCACAGCGATGGTCAAGGGAGTGAGTTTGCTTGGGTTTCATTGTTCACTGTGTGTGGGACCTTGAGTACCACACTCCTCCCTCAGACCTTCAGGTGCCTCACTGTGAAACAGGACATTGATCGTAAGCCTGTCAGAGGATTTTCATAAAGATGCAACGAGAGAATCTATCTAAAGGTGTCTGTCATCTAGTCGTCCCACAAGAATAGTGTTAGCTACTTTGGCAATGCCCTTGCCCAAGCCACCTTCAAATATTCACACACTATCAGAAAATCCACCGTATTTAGTGCAATTCTCCCTTCTACAACGCACTCTGCAATCTGATGTACAAAATCCCTTGGTATTATGCCTTCTTCCAGCCCATGACAGGAGATGCTAATAATACAGAATTCACTCGAACTGAGTCTGTTCGAGGGTCTGCTTCCAGCAGGAACTCCTCTACAAGAGGCTCTTCCTGTAGATAAGAGAAAACTCTGGACAAAATATTTGCGACTTCAGGCAGACTTTGGAGAGGGGGCCGTGCAGAGAGACTGTTGGGGGGCATCTGCACCTGGAAGGAGGCGCTGTGCAGAGTCTGCACCACAAGACACAGGCTGAAGGGAAACGGCACCAGAGGTTCATGAAGAAATGGTGATGCACGTGGACTGCCTGCACTTTCGGTTCACTGTTTTCTGGTTGCTCTTCTAGTTCTCCGTTTTCTTTTTTGTCTCTTCCCTTGTGGTTTGATGATTTTCTTTAGTGCTGAGTTCCTTTCACTTTGTTTTCTGTGTGTCTAATGCAGGGCTTTGGTTTGTGATTACCATGAGGCTTATATATATCCACCTATAGATATAGCAGATTGTTACAAGCTTAAGTTCAAATGCATTCTAAAAGCGCTACGTTTTTCCTACCCTCGCCGTGCTTTATGTTTATGATGTTATAGTTCACATCTTTTTACTTTATGCAGCCCTTAATTACTCCTTTTAGTTGTAGCTGATGTTACAACTTTTGTCTTTTAACTCTCAGACTAGTTTTTTTGTTTTGTTTTTTTGTTTGTTTGTTTTTTTTTAGAATCATACTAGCTTTTCAAGTATCTGACCCCACTGCCTTTATGGTATACTTGCCTTTACCATTGAAAGTTTTTCTTTCAAATATTTTATTTCTCATCATGGCCTTTTCTTCTTTTTTTTAACATTTTTTA